AATTAGAGCAGAAATAAATGAAATAGACACCAAAAAAAGAAAAAAAAATCAATGAAACTAACAGCTGATTCTTTGAAAAGATAAAAAAAAACTGACAAACCTTTAGCTAGACTCACCAAGAAAAAAATGTGAAAAGGCACAAATAAATAAAATCAGAAATGAAAGAGGAGAAATTACAATGAACACCACAGAGATACAAAGGATTAAAAGAGAATACTACAAAAAGCTATTTGCCAACAAATTCAATAATCAAGAAGAAATACAAATGTTCTTAGAATCATACAACCTTTCAGAACTGAATCAAGAAGAAATAGAAAACCTGAATAGACTGATCACTAGTAAGGACATTGAAACTGTAATCAAAAACCTTCCAAAAAATAAAAGTCCAGGACCAGACGGCTTCCCCAATGAATTCTACCAAATATTCAAAGAAAACTTAATACCTATCCTTCTCAAATTCATCCAAGAAATTGAAGAGGGTGGGACACTTCCTAATTCATTCCACGAGGCCAACATTACCCTGATACAAAAATCAGATAAGGATAACACAAATAAAGAAAATTCTAGGCCAATATTGCTAATGAACATAAACGCAAAATTCCTCAACAAAATACTAGCAAATACAATACAACAATACATTAAAAGATCGTGCATCATGATCAAGTGGGATTTATTCTAGGGATGCAAGGAAGTTCAACATCTGCATCAATCAACTTGATACACTACATTAACAAAATGAGGAAAAAAAAATCACATTATCACCTCAATAGATACACAGAAAGCATTTGACAAGATGCAGCATACATATATGATAAAAAACTATGAAGAAAATGTGCATAGAAGGAAAGCACCTCAATATAATATGACAAACCTGCAGCTAATATCAAACTCAATGATGAAAAATTGAAAGCTATCCCTCTAAGAATAGGAACAAGACCAAGATGCCCACTTTAACCACTCTTATTTAACATAGTGTTGAAAGTTCTAGTCAGAACACTCAGGCAAGAAAAAGAAATAAAATTGATCCAAATTGGAAAGGAAGAAGTAAAACTGTCACTATTTGAAGATGACATCATCACATATATAGAAAACCTAAAGAATCCACCAAAAAAATTAGAAATAATAAAGAAATACAGTAAAATTGCAGGGTACAATATAAACATACAAAAATCAATTGTTTCTATACATTAACAATGAAATAGCAGAAAGAAAAATTAAGAATATAATCCCATTTACTACGTCAACAAAAATAATTAAATACCTAGGAATAAACTTAACCAAAGAGGTGAAAGATCTGTACACCGAAAACTATAAAACATTTCTGAAAGAAATTGAAGAAGACACAAAGAAATGGAAAGATATTCTGTGCTCATGGATTGGAAGAATTAACATAGTTAAAATGTCCATACTTCCTAAAGCAACCTACAGATTCAATGCAATCCCTGCCAAAGTTCCAACAACATTTTTCACAGAAATAGAACAAAGAATCCTAAAATTTATATGGAACCACAAAAGACCCTGAATAGCCAAGGCATCCTGAGAACCAAAAACCAAGCTGCAAGTATCACATTTCCTGAATTCAAAATATATTACAAAGCTATAGTAATCAAAACAAACATGGTCCTGGCCAAAAACAGACATACGGATCAATAGAACAGAATCAAGAGCCAGGAAATAAACCCACAAATCTATAGGAAGCTAATTTTCAAAAGGAAGCCAAGAACATACACTCGAGAAAGGAAAGTCTCTTCAACAAGTGGTGTTGGGAAAACCGGACAGCCACATGCAAAAAAAAAAAAAAAAAGAAAGAAAGTAGACCATTATCTGACACCACACAAAAAAATAAACTCAAAATGGATTAAAAACTTGAACGTAAGACCTGAAACCTCTAAACTCTTAGAAGAAAATATAGGCAGTATGCTCTTCACGATTGGTACTAGCTGTGTATTTTTGAATACAGCGTCTCATCAGGCAAGGGAAACAAAAGAAAAAAATAAGCTATTTCAAACTAAAATGCTTCTGCATGGCAAAGGAAACCATCATCAAAACAAAAAGATAACTTATGAATTGGGAGAAGATATTTGTAAATCATATTTTTGATAAGGTTTTAATACCCAAAATATATAAAGAACTCATATAACTCAACAGCAAAAAATGAAACAATCCAATTTTAAAAAGGCCAAAGAATCTGAACATTTTTCCAAAGAAGATATACCGATGGCCAACAGACACATGAAAAGATGTTCAGCATCATTAATTATTAGGGAAATACAAATCAAACTTACAATAAGGTATCACCTCTCACCCATTAGAATGTCTATAATTAACAAGATAAGAAACAACAAGTGTTTGAGAGGATGTGGAGCAATGGGAAGCCTCATACTCTGCTAGTGGGAATGTAAATTGGTGAAGCCACTATGAAAAACAGCATGGAGAGTCCTCAAAAAATTTAGAATAGAACTACCATGTGATCTAGCTGTTCCGCTTCTGGGTATTTATCCAAAGAACATGAAAACATGAACGTGAAAGGATATTTGCACCCCTATGTTCATTGCAGCATTATTCACAGCAGCCAAGACTTGGAAACAACCTAAGTGCCTGTCAATGGGCAAATGGATAAAGAAGATGTGGTATATATATACCACTGAATACTACTCAGCCATAGAAAAAGACAGAATCTTGCCATTTGTGACACCATGGATAGACCTTGAGGGTATTATACTAAGAGAAATAAGTCAGATGGTGAAAGTCAAATACCGTATGATTTCACCCACAAGTGGAAGATAAAAAAATAACAACCAACCACATAGCAGAGATTAGATTGGTGGTTACCAGAAGGGAAAAGGGGAGGGAGGAGGGTGAATGGGTAATAGGGCACATGTGCACCATGACAGACGGTAATTAGTCTTTGGGCGGTGAACATGATGCACTCTACACAGAAACTGAAATATAATGATATACACCTAAAATTTATACAATGTTATAAACGAATGTTACCTCAATAAAAAAGAAAAACTAAAATAAAATTTTTTAAAAAGTGTCAAGAAAGAGGACATGGCAAATGCTTCATAAGGTCAAATGAAGAGGGAACTGAAAAGCGAAAAAAACAAGAACGTAACTGTTTGTTACTAATTAGCTAAGTAGAGCTAATCACATGCTCCTCCCACCTGATCCCTGTCACCGTGTACTGCGGCTCCATTCTCTACATCTACTCTCGCCCATGTTCCAGCTGTTCCCTTGAGAGGGACAAAACGGCTTCCACATTTTATACTGTGCTGTTCCCCGTGTTGAACCCCATGGTCTGCAGTCTGAGAAATAAAGACATGAAAGAAGCTCTGAAAAACTTTTCAGGTTAGCACAATCTGAAGTCTAAACTGACATAAATTTCTCAAACGAGTACTCAGTGAAATGGACTGCTTCCGTGGAAGGTTGGGGAACTGGATTAAAAAATGCTTTATTTTCCTCTTCACAGAAATCCAGTGAAAGAGATTTTGTTTCTTGTATTAGTTTGTTTTGTTTTAGTGACTGAACTATATACTGTAGAGTATAGCTTCAATTTAATATTAATATAGTTTTTTAGAAAGCAGCATCAGGGTTTAGTGAAAAATAGAAATGTATATATTACTTCTAGGATCCCAAAGGATTACCTTTTACTTAACTATCCACCCTGAGATTGACCCCATTTTTTTTCCCTACATTATGGGCATTACAGGGATGTGAAGAAAATGTAATATGGATTCTTGAGGTTTGTGCAATACACCCCAAATCCTTCCTGTCCAATACCCAAAGAGCTTCTGTAGCAAGGGAAGAATAAGGAATGGTAAGAATTTTGTGATGAAAAGAGAGAGGGCAGTGATGGGTTAGATAATATATGCAGATGAAAAGAAAGATCACAAATGTCAGAGCTAATACAAATGGTGAAGTGGCTACAACGACGTGTTTTAAAATTTAAATTTGTGCATTTTATAAATGCGCTCATTAAAACAATAGCTATAATATTTCAATAACAAACTTCTAACTTCTTAGGCTCAAACTAATCATTTGTCAAGTATAACTAATAATCCTTAATTTGTAGTGTTGTTATAAAGAGTATTGAAAAAAATATCAACTAAATCTGCCACATACTGAATATTAGCTATAACTTTCTTCGTACTTAAAATCTTCTGGTGGGGAAAAAACAAGAAAACAAGCTTTGAGTCTAGAATATAGTGGGTTTTTGCTTGATGATTTGTTTGTTCCAGTTTGATCCCCTTGATGTTACTTTGTTTCATAGGGAATATGGAGTGGTATGGAATGAGACAGGATGGCAGAGTACTCATTCTCTGTGGAAGAGATCACTGTTTTATAGTGATATACAATCCTAAAGATACGTCTTTCTCCATGGATTTGGAAAAGTGTTTTGGTTGTTTTTTATTTATGTATCTATTTGTTTTTGGTAATCTCAACAACTCTTAAAGATTTGTCTAGTGTTAAATTGACATAGAATGCAAAAAGTTTACAAAGACATTTTCTATATACTCAATTAGAGCATTATGAAGGAATTTGGAGGGAATGCTTTATGAAGAAATAAATATTTGGAAAATCTTGAGCAAATTTCCACCACTTTAACTGTTCCAAAGGTTTTCCCCCACACAATAAAGTTTGCTTGCCAAACTTCAAAGTCAAACTATACCCACAAAAACCATCTGATTCTTCTTTTCTCTTTCCAAATCCCCCAAAGATCATCAAGAGGATAAATTTAAAAAAATATACTACTGCAAAGTATCAATATTGTGGGACATCCAACAACCCAATATTTCAGGTTTAAAATATTGTAATTACAATAAAATAAAAATAAACAATTAAGAGTGGTTTGTCTAATGTTTCATTGTTTTAAGTACAGTTTGATGAATTTACTTGAAATATTGTAATGTTTTCAAATATGTGTATAACCAAACGTTTGGAAAATACTTTTAGAGCATTCTGCAAAAAGATGACCTTTATCTCTCTGGCCTTATGGTCTACATTGCTTTCCAGAAGGCCTCTTGGACATCTTTGTTTCTCAGGCTATAGATGAGAGGGTTGAGCACAGGCTTGAGCACTGGGTTGAGCACTGGGTTGACCACAGTGTAGAACAGAGCAGCCACTTTGTCCTTCCTCGGGGAGTAGGTGGAACTTGGCCTTGAATACATGATGAGCAAGGATCCATAGAAAAGTGTGACTGAGATTACACGAGAAGCACAGGTAGAGAAGGCCTTGTACATTCCTGAGGCTGTTTGGATCCTCAGGATAGCCAGAAGGACGTTGAAATAAGAAATCAGGATGGTAAGAATGCTGGAGAGGACCATGAAGCCCACCACACCCAGGAGGACCTTTTCACAGACCTGAGTGTCTGTACAAGACATTTTTATCAGTGGTGGTGCATCACAGAAGTGGTCAATGATATTTTTACCACAGAAACTCAGGCGGAAAGTGTTAGCAATATGAGCAATAGAATTCAAGAACCCTCTGATGTAGGAGCCTGCAACGAGTCCGGTACAGAGAGAACTGGACATTGTACTTGAATAAACTAATGGCTTACAGATGGCCACTAGGCGGTCATAGGCCATGGCTGCTAAGAGACAGCACTCAGTGTAGGTTACAGCACAACAAAAGAACAACTGGGCTCTATATCCAGCCAAGGAAATGCACTTATCATCTGAGACACAAATGGCCAGGATTTTGGGAGTATACACAGAGGTGTACCAGAAATACAAAAAATACAGATTGCAAATGAAAAAATATATAGGCATGTGCAGGTGGGAATCGATACGGATTAAGACAACCAAGGTCATGTTCCCTGACAAGGTTATCAAGTAGAGCATCAGAAATATTCCAAATAAAATCTGCTGCCATGGGGGTTTGCTGAGAGGCCCATCAAGATGAATTCAGTCAGGGTGGTGTGATTTCCAACTTCTATGTCCACAGAAGAGAAAGTCTGATAAAGGTTATGAGAAAAAAAATCATTTAGTATTTTTCTATTGAAAGAAATAAACAAAGGTATCAATTAAGTCAGTAATTACTAGAGGCTTATGGACTTTTATCCATTATTATCTAGAATGATAAAATTTCAGTCTGAGACTTGGGAACCAAGAATTGGAGTATAATCTGATTTTGGAATTAGGACTTTTACTTACTAATTGTTTAGTGTAAGGCAAGTCCCTTAGTGTCACCAAACACATGAGAAAAATGAAACCCCCTGACAGGTTGTCTAATCAAGTGAATAATATATACATCAAAACACCCAGCCCAATGTTCAGTACATAGTGACCACTCAAAAAATTTGAGTATCCTTCACATATTATTGAGAATTTATGTCAGGCATTGTGCTGGTAGTTATACAAAAACCAATATAATATCCTACTGCTGCTCTTATTAGTACAAATAGAAAATATATATATATATATATATTACCACTACATACAGACAGTATCCTGAGTCCTATACTTAACCCACTTAATCCTCCCCACAACTTTATAAGGTAACTGTTATTATGACGCTCATGAAGTTTAGGAAACATTTGCAACATCACAGAATTAGTCTACAGCACAGCTGGTATTTCAACCCAGGATTATCTTTATCAAGGACGTATGCTCTCAACTGTTAAGTCATTTGTGTCTTTTATAGGTGAATTATTTTCTCTTTTGTTCTCCTAGCTAAGGCAATCCTATCTTCCTCTGACAACCTGAATTTTGTTACCTATTGAAAAGAGCTTTAAAAAATTCTTTTTTTAAACACTATTTTTTTTACACTCTTCTCTAGTTGATGTGAGGTTTATATACAGAGTTGAGGCCTTTTTTCACATAGTGGATGCTGAACATTAGGAAGATCTAAATTTTGGTGTCAAGGATATATTGAGACACCATGAATCCTTCAAAGTTGATGTTCCGAAGCTCTCAGAGAGAAGCTAAAAGAAGGTATCTAAGATAAAACATTACAGAATTAGAGTTGAGGCACCAGTAGTCGGCTGACCTTCCCTCAGGTATAAAGGCAGTGGGAGACAGCTAAAACTAGGAGGATTGTGATTTACTTCAATGTTTAAAACATTTACCTTTGAGCTAAGCCAGAGTCAATGCTGTAACTAGAATGCAAATCCAAGTTTTATTCCTCAGTGTTACTGTTCTGACTTGTTAGTTATTGAGGTATCTTAACCTTTCAAATGCAGATGATGATGTTCACAGAGAATGTGACTGCATTGATGGCACTGTGGTAAATGCAGCTTGGAGTCTTGCAGACCATTCCGTTTTTTAACCAGTATATATTGGATCTTTTCTTGCTAGCACACAAAGTACAGATGATTTAGGTATACACACAAGGTTCCATAAACTTGCTCTAACTTACCTTTATAAACCTCTCTCTCACCACTTGTCCTCATCAATTTAGTACTTCAACCAAACTATATCACTCACATGAATGATTTCCCTATAATATTCTCAAACATGCTGGGAGCTTCACAGTTATAGTACTATGCTATATAGCAGTTATTCATTTGTACAGTACGATGTTTTTCTGAATATGCTGAAGCTTCAGTAGAATTATCTTGGCAGGAATGTATGGTTTTTATATTGATAATGTATAAAATGATGGGTTATAGCCACCTTCTCAGTAGTTACCATGAACTTCCTCTGGTATGTTATCAGTTGTCCTAAATAAAGAAAAATATCTGGGACTTAACTACGTTCATTTTTAGTATAATATAATTTGGGGAAAAAAAGTGAAATATCAAGAGCCAATTACCACTCCTCTTCTACTACCCTCTAAAGAGACAAATAACTGATAAAATAAATTTTCTGGTCTAAACTCAAAGTCTTCTCAGAAGAAGAGATCTTCAAATGAGACCTGAAAATTGAGCCCATCGTCAGGGTAAGGAGAGAGGGGAGAGAAGTTCCACGAGAAGAAAGAACATATAACACAGCCCTTCCTAGAGAGAGTCTGCTGAGTTCAACGAGCTGAAAGAGGTTAAATAAAGATATTGGGATGGAGAGGGGAACCAGGGATGAGCCACAAGAGTTAGCAGCTCGCAAAGCTTACTGAAAGCCATGTTGAGGATTTTGGCTTTTAAACCAACATAAATGGAAGCCATTTGTGAGGAAGGAGCATGATCAGATTTATATTTTTAAAGTTTACTTTGGCTGCAGATCAGAGAATGGATTGAAAAGGAGGAAAAGTTGCCTCTTAGGAATCTCTCTGAAATCTTCAATCGTCTATTACCTGTTGAGACCAGTCCTCTGGTAAAGGCAGGAAAGAGAGGCATTCAAACTTCTAGATAGAATTACTAGGGATTGTTTAACTGGGACCTTATCCTGATAGACAAGACTCAAAGACTGCCAGTCTCAATCTCTCTTCTAGGCAAGAATGTGTATTTATATAGTAATTTAACCTCAAAATACAAGAAAACTCTAAAAGACAAGATCCTTTCAAAGTATTGGTTGGTAATGAAAGCATCTCCTCTGTTTTTACAAGAAACTACAAAGTCTTGGATGAAGTGGATAAATCAATTTGATTAAAGGTTTAGACCATTCAGTTAAAAGAATGATATGGTCATCATTCTGACTTCTGTGTAAAACATAACTGTATCACAAATTCATCACGTTATATTTTGTATGAAAATTCTAATATTTAAAAGAGAAAGAAGTAAATAACCACAAACCAATAATCTATGTGATATATTGCAAAATTTTTAAAAAAGACTACAAGTCTTTACTGATGTCTTGATTTCAAGAGTAGATTTTGTTACTCTACCCTAGAGTCTGCATGGCCTTGTGGTTTGTTTTGGCCAATAGATCACAAAATAGGCAGTGATATGCAGATGCCAAAGCCTGGGTCAAGAGGCTTTGCACACTTCTTTTCTTGCTTTTGGAATCCTGCCACCACAATATAAATAAGCCACAGTTAGCTTGCTGAATAGTGAGATATCTGGCTGCATTCTCTTTGTGACACCAGCTGACAGCAAGCTGGCCCCCAGACATGTTAGTGGGTCCATTCTTCATCATCCAGCCCCCAACTGAGCTAATAGCTAAATACAGAGCTATGAGCAAACCCAGCTGAGAGCAGACAGGTCTGGAATGGGCAGACTTGTATAATTGCACAATTGAAAAGGCACTTGTGTTCAAATCTTGATTCTACCCAATGTTAGCTCTACAATCTTGGGAAAGTCTTTAAAAGCCTCCAAATAATACCTGACTTATTTACAAAATCTGAGCTTGAGGGAAAAAAAATGAAGCCACTTTTCTACAAGGAAATAATTTAATCCAAAATGATGGTGTCCTTCAGAATCTTTCTAGACCCTGAGAGTTAATATTTTTGTTACATACTCACATGCAATTTGACAAAGGAGTGGCAGGCTTGGAAGTACACAGTTCATTGGCCTTGGATTGAGGGGTCTTGTGATAGGGATGGAGCCTGAGGCTAATCACCAGTGTGCATTTAAGAGCATCACATGTCTTCTCTGGAACATAATTTCACCCGCATGAAAAACTCGTTGATCCTTTTCCAGTACCCACCTTCTATGATACCAATTTGTTAACATCTCTTATAGAATCCATCATAAAGATAAGAGTAGAAACCTCATCTACAACACTATCGTGAGTTAGAATAGATTAACAATCCTTATAGGTGCATATATTTTTGGACACATGGGGCATTCTCATCGCCTTGGTTGAAGTGAGAGAGGGAATGTACCAAAGATAAGAGCATTCTTCTTTTCACTTTAGGATTTGCGTATTCATTCCTCCTTCCCTAAAAATCAATCATGTGAAATTGTGTATATTCTCTAACTGTGGTATTCCTTTCTTTCATTAAAAATTTAATGGCTCTTAAACTTTTAGATTCACGGACTTCTTAAAGAATGTGATAGAAGCAATGCTTCTCCTCCCCAGCCTCCAAACTATTTATAGGTATAAGCACACACAATTTTAGTGGGTTCCCAGATCCCCAGAAATCTGTACATTGATTCTGTCATTATGACTCTCAATTAAAAATTCTACCACTAAAAGATGCCTAAGTTTCTTTTGAGTGCTAACATTCTACAATTACAAGAGATGAGACAAAAATATTTCAAACTTTGCATGTTTAAAGCTGATTTCCTAATATTTACTCCCCAAAATTGATCAATCTGCTCACTTCTCATACCAGATAATAAATGTACTCTTCTAGTTTCTCAAGACACAAATTAGGAAACAACCTACCCACTTTCTCTTCTACCTCCTCTTCAGTCTTCCAGGAAATCCTGGTGCCCCTACCTATAAGACCTATCCTGAATCTGAGCACTTCCTCCCACCTCCACCACTACCACTCAGGTCCAAAACATCATCGTGTTTTGCCAAGAATATTGTGATAGTCTTCTAACTGGTCTACACACCTGTCCCTCTATAGCCTATTTTCAATATCTCAGTCAGTGTGGTCCTTTACAAAAAAATAGTAATAGGGCAAGTCACTTTAGGCCTGTTCTTAAAACCACCCTAAAGTATTTGCAGTTTATTCTAAGTTAAAGTCAAATTTCATTCAATGACCTAAATGTCCTCACAGAGGCAGCCCTCTATTACCTTCAGGTCCATATCCCCAAAGACTCACCTTTTGCTTCATTCTACTCCAGTTTTGCTGACTTTCTCACTGTTTCTCAAAAATGCCAGCCCTGCCCCAGCATCAAAAATTTCTGAACTGACTGTTCCTCTGCCTGAAAAACTATCCCCAGATATTTGCAAGCCTCACACTCTTATCTTCTTTAAGTGCTATCTTTAAGTGCTATTTAAATGCCGTTTTTTGACTAAGACCCATCCTCATCACTATTTTAAATTCCATGCCCCCTTCTCAAGAACAATTCCCA